ATTAACAATAAATGAAAATGAAATGAAAAATAAAAGAATAAGAAGTGAAGTTGTGAAACGAGAATAATTAAAAATACATAAAAAATAAGAAGATAAAGAGAATGTATAATTCTCCAAGAATTATATTCAATAATAAATACTAAAATAATAAAGAAAATCAAAGAAGAAAACAAATATAAAACAAAATAAATGAAGAATATATTAAAACAAATGAAAAATGAATCAAAAACAAAAAACAAAGAAATGAAATAAAACTAGAAGAATAAAAAATTAAAAATAACATAAATAAAAACACAAGATAAAGAAGAATATAACAAATAAGAAATTAACACACTTCAAAATAAAATCAAAGAAATAGAAGAAACTATTAAAGAAATTCAAACAAAAAAGATGGAAGAAGGAATTATCTCAAATAAAATAATTCAAAAAACATGAGATACAATTAGAAAAGAGTTTGAAGAAGAAATAAAAAAGATTAAAACACAAATAAACAATATCCAAACTACATGTAATGAAATAAGAAAACTCTAAATTAAAATAATAAAATAAGACATTACAATGAAAAATAAATTAAATAAAATAGAAATAACACAGAAATATGAAATAAAGATAAAATCATTAACATTCTTTGAGTTAATTATGAGAAGTTAAATAATGATGAGCTGCTAAAGAATGATGATATGGAGAAGAACATAAGAAATAAATAAAATCAAATCATTGTATATCAAAAAGTGCATTGAAAACTATGAGATTGCAGAAAAAACAAAAGAAGAATTAAACCATACACAAAAAGAAAATGAAGACCAAAAACAAATAATATCAAATCATCAACAATTTATTGTTTATTTTTTATTTTAGAAATGGAAGAAGAAAACAATAACAGTAATGATAAATAAACAACAAATATTGAGAAGAACATCATCAGCATGGACAGTATAAATGAACCAAACTACCATTATGAAAAATAAAATATTATAAATAAAAGAACAAAACACTGAATATTAAAAAACAAGAAATGATAATCAATCAAGAAGAAAATAAAACACAACAAAACAAATAGAATTTTAATTGATATTTTGTGTTGTTTTGCAATTAATTTGTTAAATAATAAATTAAATAAAAAAATTAAGATGGGAACAAATAGAAAATATAATAAAAATGATAAATATCAATGTAAATAATGATAAAGAATACATTAATAATATTAAAAAGTCACATAGAATAAAATAAACAACTAAAAGATATATTAAAATGAAAAATGAACTCAATCATAGAAAATAGAGTATAATTTAATAATAAAAAACATCAATATGAAAAATAACATTATTGATATTAATAATGATAACTTAACTTTTCATCAATCAAACTAAAATAATCAAATCATAAAATAGATTGAAAGATACATAAATATGATAATATCATCATTATATTGGATGATTTAAATCTAATTATGATGAAATAATTGGAAAAACTACGAATTAATATTATATATTTATATTAAATGAAGAGAATATCAACATCAAGAGAATATATTCTTAATATATTTAATAAATAGTTAAATTTCAGTGATTCATCAAATTAAATATGGTAAAATAAAGAACAATATTAATCAACAAATGATATGATATGATCAATGTCATTAATTATCATCATATTAATTGTATAAATATAATTATGAAAATATTTATATCATTATTAAAAGATAATATTCATAATAGAATTATTATGAATAATGAATATTTAAAATTATTAAAAACCAATTATGATGTAAATTATAATTTCTTGATAATAAATAATTAATAATTAATAATTAATAATTATATATTAAATCAACAGAAATAAGAGAAATATACAAAATATATAGATTCATATTATGATATTAATAAATTATATGAATCAATGAATCATGAATAAGTACTAGAAATATTAAAATAATTTAATATAGAATGAATCAACATAAATAATGTATAAAATATGATGAATATAATCATATGACATAACTATAATAAATATAAATAATATATTAAAATGATAAATTTTATATTATGATTCATTATCATCTCTATTATCATCAAAATGAATATAATTTATCAAATCAATGAATAGAATTCAATAACATAAATCATATATTATAATGAAGAAATAAGAATAATGATACAAAATAATGAATAAATAAGAATAATCAACAAATAAATTAAATCAATAATAAATTAAATAAATAAATGAAAGAAAATAAACCAAGAAATAAATAATATTAATCAAATATCATCTTGAAATGAAAATATCACAATAAATGAAATAGATGAAATATATAAATATTTAAATGGATGATAATCAGATGAAATTAATAATATATTCAATTATAAAATCATCAAATAAAAGATAATGAAGAAAATGGATGAAATAAACATTGAAGAAAGTAGTAATATAATATATATTACAATAATTAATAATGAATTAATTAATATCTGAAGATATTTATTATCAGTAATCAATTGGAAGGTAAATTAGATAGAATTGAAATTGAGATAATAAAATAAATAATAAATACAAAATATATTAGTGTTGGTAACTCAAAAGATAATCTATATATCAATATAAAAGAAATAATGAATAGTAAACATGAATGATGAATATATTAATGAAATAATTAGAAGAATAATGTAATATTGTATAAGAATGAAATAATAAATAAATATTAGATAGATGGTATTCAAATAAATGAATAAGGAATATAAATAAAAAATAATAAAACATAAAATCAAAGAAATAGAAATAAAATAAATAATAAAATAAATGATTGAAAATAAAAAGAGTAATGATAAAAATAAAATAATGATAAACAAATACATTAATAAATTGAAATCAAATAAATGGATATTTTAGAAGATAGATTGATTCCAATTTTATAGATAAAACTACTATTATCAATACAATGAAGTCAATCAACATTAAAAAGAATGTTTTTCTCCATTTAACTAAAATACAAGAAGGAGTAATATTCAATATGTATAGAAAAGATATAATATTAAAAAATGATTAAAATACTATCCACTTTGTAAATACAAGATATCAATAATAGAAAACATTCTACTATCTTGTATTTGTCATAAAAAATCACAAATAGAGAAATATGACAATATTTGTATTATCATATTAAATAATAACAAATATATATGAAATAATCAATATAAGAAATCAACATATGAAACAATGTTCTAATACAATGACATCAATATCATATTGAACAAACAAATAATATCATAAAATGAATGATAATATCACAAAATATCAGATATATATGTAATAAATAAAAAGAATAAAACTGATCTATTATTTGATATGAATATTATTGCATATCATAATATTAATGGAGTATAATTGAATAAAAGAAATAAGTATAAAGAAATGAAGAATATGATATTAAAATAGAGAAATTAAAAGATATCAAAATAAATACAGTAGTAATTTCAACAAATTAATTAATAAATGTAGAAAGTATTAAACTAATTAAACAATTAAAAAATGAAATTGACATCATAAAAGAAGTTAAAAATCATGTAACTAAAAACACGATGATGCCATGAACA